AGCTACCAGGCCTAGTAGATTTGATCTCCTAAATCCCCCTTTGATCTTTCCTCACCCATCTGTTCCTTGCCCTGCTCAGATCCCTTCAATCTCATGAATGATCCTCTGTTTAAAAACAAAGGTGAAGGGCCGGCCCGGTGGCGCACTGGATAAGTGCGCCGCTTGGGAAGTGCAGCGGCGCTTCCGCCCGAGGGTTCGGATCCCACATACAGACCGGCTCCCGCTCACTGGCTGAGCGAGGCGCGGGAGCAACGCCGAGGTTTGCAATCCCGTTGCCGGTCCCCGGTCCGGTACGGGGGCAACACTGAGGGTTGCGATCCGTTGCCGGACACGGAAAAAAGACAAAAGACAAAAAAAAAAAAAAAACAAAGGTGAAACTCCTGGGCCCGACAGTCAAGGCCCTTTGTGCCCTGGCCCCATCTCCAGTTGCTCCCAACCATCCACCAAGTCCTCTCACACTGGGTAACTCAGAGCTTTCTCCACTTGCCATATTCCTTCCTGCCCCAGCCCTCACACAGCCTGTTCCTTCTGCCTGAAATGTCCTTTTTTATTTTATCTGCCTGGAATCCCCTATTGATGCTTCGGGGTCAAACTCCAACATCATGGCCAGTATTGCTCCCTGCCCACCCCCCACCCCCCATGCTTTGTGTTCCTATGGTATCTGGTACTTCCTGTGACCCTGCTTGTCAGACCATGTCAGACTCACATCTGTGGCCCCAGCGCAGGTCTGACACCAGAGGGCTTGCTAAATGAGTTAAAGGGTTAAAGCACTCAGGGCATGCTTGAAGTCACACATTAGAGCCAGACCAACTCCTACCTTTATCTAGAGACACTACTGCCAACCCAAAAGCCAGCAGCCCTGAAGCCAGGCCCAGGTCCCACACAGAGCTGAGAGGTGTCCCAGGAGGACGTCCTCACAGGGCTTCTGACTTACCCCCCTTTGTCCTGTGGTGGTGGTTTCTGCTGGGGAGGAGTGAAGCCCAGTCCTGTGAGTGGCCTGAGAAGGCTGGAACCTCTACAGACTCTCCCTCCTCGCCCTCTGAGCTCTTTCTGGGGATGGGGTAGAGACTGGGGAGATGGACATGGGGTGACACCCCTCCTTTTGGGGAAGAAGCAGTGACCATTATCTAGGGGTATGGTGTGGATTCAGCATTCCACACACTTTCACATGCTATTCCCTTGGTCCTGCTGTCCTGTCCTACCAGGATCATGTCCCCATGGGCACTCTCATCCTGTGCCCTAAGGGCGCAAACAGCTGAGCCGAGAGTTCCAATTCCTCAGAACACTGGACACTAAGAACAGTTGCTCCAGATGCCACCTAGTGGCACACTCCAGATCTGCAGCCCCAGCTGCTCCCAGGCCCAGGCTACCCTGACTCTGAGGGGCAGTCCAAATGAGGCTTTGTCTCCTCCATCAGTCATTGCCCAAGGCTAGTAAGAGGTGAACTCAAACCCAGATAGGCTGGCTCCAGAGCCAGCACTCCATTGCTAAACTCCCCTGCATTTGCTACATGGATCTTTGTAACCCTGCATCGAAAGCACAGAATTGACATCAGTAAATTTTTTCTGAGAACACAGTTATGGAAAGGGATCAGGAAAGGGAAATGTTCCTCCGTTACCCTTTCTTCCTTCTCTCATACAAACCTTAGTGAGATAAAGTTTGAATACTCAGCTGCTCTGGTTACAGCACCTCAAAAATGCAAAGGTGACTGTAAGATGACTGTCACATCCTCTGTGTCAGGCACAGTGCCAAGGATTTTACATAGATCATCTCCTTTAATCCTCATACATACAGCACTGCAGAGTAGATATTAGATCCCTGTTTCAGAGATGGAAAGGCTGAGGTCAAAAGGATTATGGGCCGGTCCGGTGGCGCACTCGGTAGAGTTCGGCGCTTGGGAGCGCGGTGGCGCTCCCGCCGAGGGTTCCGATCCCATATAGAGACCGGTCCACTCATGCGGGCACGACACCGAGGGTTGCGATCCCGTTGCCAGTCGCGGTACGGGCGCAACACTGAGGGTTGCGATCCCGTTACCGGTCACGAAAAAAGACAAAAAGGGGTAAAAAAAAAAGGATTAAGTGATCTGCTTCTGGGAACATGGCTATTAAAGAGAATTCTTGCTCAGGCCTGACTACATAGTAATACTTTTTATTATACTCCTGTCTTCTCATTTCAACACCAAGTCTGAAAAATCCCCAAAGTAAAGAGTTGTGTCCACCAAATTCAGTATCTTATGGCATCTGCCAAACTTAAGAGACATAAAGGGAATGATGTGTCATTCGCTGGGTGGAGATCCACTATCATGTGTTCTGGATGAGAAGAATTTTGGGGGCACAACTCAAGCCTGAAGTGTTGGTGTCCACCCAGGTCTAGGTGGTCAAATCGCTTCTGCCATTTGCTTTAATGGGAAACATCATTAGCTAAGTAAGGTCTGGGTCAACCTCACACCTAACACATGGGACAGGCCTCATGCAGGTACAGTTGCACAGGAAATGAACTAATGAGTGTTTGAGGAGTGCCGAGTGCGTGCCAGACAGTGGCCGGCCAGGCAGAGCATATGTAACTTCTGTCTGGTGTGTTCTTCTGGGTGGTCAGCAAAGGATGGGGAAGCCTGAGGGAAGGAAGGTAGGGTCTGAGGCTACATGGATAGGGGAGGCAGAGACCAGACAAATGGAATAAAGACCCTCAGAGACCAGGGACAGACAGGAAGATAGAGATCCATTGCGAGAGGTCAACGGAGTCAGTGACCCGCACGAAAACAGAGGCCAGTGGAGAAATACACGCACAGACACATAAATGAGAGAAAGAGACTCGCAAAGAGAGGGGCAGAAACTCGCAAAGGGAGGTCAACGGAGAAATACAGACCTGCAGAGAGACAGAGAGACACGCGGAGTGACGGAGACTGGTAGACACAGAGAGCACCCGTGCCCTACAGGGAGAACCACAGACCCTTAGAGAGACCCGAGGAAACCGAGACGCGACGGCCTCGGGCTCCCAGATTCTGCGGGGCGGCCCGGAAAGGAGCGGCACCCGGGAGGACGAGGCCCGGGCCGGCCGCCGCCGCTCACCTGCCGTCCTCCCAGGGCAGCTGTGCCGCTTTCATCCGGGAGGGGAACATCGTCGGGGGAGGCAGCGGCGCATGGGGCTCTGGGTCCCGGGCCCGCCAGCCCGGTCTCCCGGGCCTACGCGGCGCCTCCGCCTCCCGCCCCGCCCAGGCTCCTGTGCCCCTCCCTTCGGTCCTCCGGGTCCGCCGCTCCGGCCGCGCCGTCTGCTCCCCGGAACCACCGCCTCAAAGGTTCCGCTTGCCTACGAACACGCGGGCGCTTCCACTGTCGACTTGACTCGTAATCGCCTCTGGGGACCCACTTGACACCTCGAGAAACTAGGCCCCAGAGGCCGAAGGCCACCGAATAAGTCAGTGGTCTTGGACGTAGACTCCAGACTTTCAAATCAGCACTCCGGGATCATCTGCATCTTCCTCCTCTTCCAGAGGAAAGGCGGGGAACATGCTGGCATCCCTGCTGCCGGCCCAGGCTGTGCACTCTTCCTCCACACGAGCTTGGAGGGGCACGGCCAAGCTCAAGGCATAGTGTTGGGTTCAGCAGACTCCCCAGATAGTAGTTAAGAGCCGGGTTTGAAACCGGGTTTGACTGGGTTTGAAACCCGGCTCTGCCAATTCAGCTGTGTTTTGGGGCAAGCCCCAATCTCTCTGCGACTGTTTCCTCACCTGAGTGTATCAGTGGTTCCTATTCTGCACGGCTGCTGTGAGGATTAAAGGAGAAAATGCAAACCCACTTGGTACAGGCTTGGGCACATGGTCAACACTATATAAATGATAGCGATCAGGCAGGAAAGGGGTACTTTGATGGAGATGAGGTGAGAACCGAAGAAGGGAATAGGAGACTGAGTTCCCATATCTGCCCTGTCACCTTGGGAATTTAGCCGTTCCTCCACCCCCACCCTTTCTGCCACCCTCACACCTGGAAAAAGAGAGCAGCAGAGTTGTTAGACTTGATCTCCTCTGCTCTTCCAGGCAAACTTTAAGTTTCCAAATAAATAGCTAGTATTTATATATTAAGTTCTTACTATGTCAGTCATTGTTCTAAATTATTTACTACTGTTATCTCATTTAGTCCTTATGAGTAGGTACTTATCACCACTTTAAAGATGAAGGAACTAAGGCACAGAGGGGCAAACTCGGAAGTTTGGTTGCAGTTTTATGTTGTCTGTTTTGCAAAATCTATGATCTTATCCATTCTGCTTCAGAGAGGACTTCATTATGGGTAGGAAATTGATCATTACCAGCAACCGCTTACCCCCTTAAATCCAGAAGCACACAACCAACCTGTTTCCCTTCCTGTTGACTCTCTCAGGACACTGCACCCGATACTGGAGGAACCTCAGCAAATCCAGCCTAAGTTTGGCTGATAACAGAGCCAGTCAGGTAAGGCCAATGATGGAAGCAGGGATGTGGGACTGTGTGACCTGGACAGCCCAAGCCCATCTAAAGGTGATAGCCATCACTCTGGCCAACTAGTTGTCACCACAGCAGGATGAAGGCCCACTAGAGTCAATCTATTTCAAGAAATCAGATTTCACACACAAAAAAATCCAAATTAACTAATTTTAAAATGTGACATCTAGTCATGTTAAGTATTCTTGATATGATGGGATGAGAATGGCACTTCGCCTCTGTGGTCTTCCTTTCAAAAACCCATAACCCCAGTCTAATCATGAGAACATCAGACAAATCCCAGTTGAGGGAAATTCTGCTCAAAACTTTCAGTTGACAGGTGGAAAATGTCCAAATCTCTTACCCGAATTCAAGGCTCTTCTAACTCTAACCCACCCTTCCTTTGCAGGTTCCTCACAACCCTCCCCTCCAGCTGAAACAGAATGTCCATCTGTCTCCGTACCAGCAGTTTGCCTCTGCTTCCCCCAACCACTTCTGCCCTGCCATCTCCTTTCATCAGAATCCTTCCTCTCCTTCATGGTCCTTGCTGAAATCACTTGCTATTGGTTAAGCCCATCAAAACCACCAGTGCAGGGACTGTCCTTCCCACCTGTAGCACTCCCTTGCTCAATGCACCTTCTGTGACCAGCCACTTTCCTGCAGCACCCATGACAGTTCTGCCCACCTACTCTGGAAAGGGAAGATACTTCACAAGGGAGCTGACACAATTTGTTTGTTGGATGGTCTTGGGCAAACCCACTAGCCCCTGCTGTGGGAAAGCATGGAAAGGATAGAAAGGATGAAGTTCACAGGTGGGGATTCATCTTGAAATGTGAAATATGCTACCCATTGGAATAAATGACATTCTCTGAAGCACCTTGCAGTATTATGCCTACTGATAGTACAGTAACTTTACACCACACAAGAAGTCAATTTTTTTTATTGGGAAACCAATGTAACAAACCTAGACTTAATGAAAATGAAATCAGTAACTAAGACTCTGCAGGCCCCATCCGCAACCAGCACCAAGGCCTCTGCTTGGCCTGACCCCAGTTCTTGAAGCCCCAGAATGGACAACCATGTGAAGAAGCTGGGGTCAACATCAAAGCCACTTTCCCACACTGCAACCCCCTCCAACCCATCCCCAATTGATACAAACCCTAGATCAGCAGGCTGGGTCTAGGCCAAAGGAGAGAAAAGCAAGCTTCCCAGGGTGGCAGAAAATCACAGCCACACCCCAACCTGTTCAAAATCCCAAGTTAGCAAAGGAAGACAGAAGGAAGACCAGCTTGCCCACCCACAACCCTCCCCCAGCCATCCCAGACAGCAGCCTCACATCCCTGATCAGTAACACTGTGATTCTGAGGTGCCAATAGGTTGCCCAGTGGCTTCACCAGCCCCTGGGTGATTACTGCAAAGGGCCCAGAGGCCAGGGGGAGAAGAGGGCAGGCATTTGCCCACCACCTGCTCAGTATTAGCCAGCCAAGCTGCTCCCCTCAGCTTGTGCCTGGGGGTGCCTGCAACCCCTCTTCCCTCTAGAACACCTATGGCTGGGAACCAGTCCTGCCAGAGAGAAATCAGTTCCAGGAGGCCCTTTCTCCCCAAGCCTGGGAGGACGGCCTGTGAGGCCTGGGATGGTTACACCAGCTTCTTGGCTTCAAAGAAGCTCTTGAGGTGCCTCATCTGCCAGACGCCGATGGCCACAAGGATAAGGGTCTGCAGAATGGACCACCACAGCACCCGCTGGTTGGTGCTCTCGCTGGTCTGTCGGAAGCGCTCCTCTCGCCACTGTGGGGAAGAATGGAAAGCAAGCCTAAGTTGGCTGGGGCTGCCAGAATGGCTGGGTTTCCAGCCTATGAGGATACCCCCAGGCTGGTCAGCTCTGCCCAGAGTCACTGCAAAGAGTCACTCCACCTGGGGACTGTCTTCACCCTCACCAACCAGATAACCTGAGGAAACTACTCATTTCTTCTAAGTCTGTTTCTTCACTTCTCAGGTATAGTCCTCACCTAGTCCTGCCCTGGAGCCTGGGGGAGAGGTAAGGGAGTTGCGGCATTTCTCCATGGGTCCGAGCTATTCTGGAGCACTCATAAATGGACTTGCTCTAAGCCCTCTGCCTGTCTCCCAAACTGCTCCTTAAAGATCATGGGCACAGGCTGCAAACTGGTGGCCTGGGAGCTGGATCTGGCCTTTATGTGTATTTTGTTTGGCTCACACAGTGTACTGCCAACATTTAAAACCCGGGAAGGGGCCAGCCTGTGGCTCACTTGGGAGAGCGTGGTGCTGACAACACCAAGTCAAGGGTTAAGATTTCCTTACCGGTCATCTTTTAAAAAAAAAAAAAAAAGTAAAACCCAGGAAAATTTCACATAAAAACCCTGGACCTCTAGCTCCTCTTGAAAAAAATGGAACTGAAAACTGAGGGCTAGCATTTCTGCAAGGAGGCCCTCAGCTGACACTGAACAGTAGCTGTTCCTGTTTAGATGGGTCACTGCCCTACTAGTCCTTACGATCACAGATTGATTCATGGTACCTGTCTAGTTCCTGGTCACAGGTGAGTTTGAGACTCCTGGTCCTGGGAGAACCTGGAGTCACTGAAACAGCACCCAAGGGGTTGGTATCTTTCCCCATTCTGTCATTCCATGTGTAACTAAGATTTAAGGCAATGACAGCCTCTTAAGAGTTTGTGTCCTCAGTTACAAGGTAGAGTAAGTAATATCTGCCCCAACCTTTAGACCTGCAATGCAACACAGGTAATCCCTTAGAGGCTTCATAATGAATCTGACATGTGACTCCTGGCTGAGCTGGTAGGCAGCCTCTGGGAAGAAGCCCACCAGTCCCAGCCCAATCACGCACCCGCTGGTAGTTCTGCTCTTTCTGAATCTGTTCCACTTGTTCCACCAGCTGTCGCACACGTAGCTGCAACTCACTCAACTTGTCTTTGGCAGCAATTTCTGCATAGTCGTTGGCGTGTTCACCCACCTGGATGTCCAGGTGAACTCTCTGGGGACAGACAAAGGAGATAAGAGGAATGAGGCAGCCTTGCTCTGTCTTCCTGCCAGACACTGACAACTGATTCCCCCACTTTCCTTCATTTGTTTATTTAGCGAACAGATTGATGCCTCCACAGTGTCTGGCCTTCTGGGGCTCTGGGCACGCAAGTGAGAACAATAAGCCTGCGCTGATGATCTGACCAAGGCATATACAAAGAGCTCAGCCACTGTGCCCTGGATATCCACTGGAAACCCCGTGTTCTCAAGAGACACAAAATCTGACATACTTACCTCACACACCCACAGTACTACCAGTCCCCAGTCCTGACCAGGGAACAGAGGCTGAAAGTTTTAAGTCCCACATGAGTCCACTTACCAGCATGCCTCCAGCAAAGAGGGAGAACTTGGTGGAATTGGAGTGAAGACAGATCTGGTGCTCACCAGGAGTATGGGAGGTAAAAGTGAACCGACCCTCAGAGCCATACTGTCGGGCCAGAATGACCTGGAGGAAAGGAAGGAGCTTCAATCAGTGTTACAGTAGGGGTGGGGCTGGAAGGAAACAGTGCTTAAGGCTCTAAGTACCACAAAAGTTGACAAGCATGGCCTTAGGCACCTCACAATACGAAAAGATCCAAAGATGCTCAGCATCAATTTCTAAATGCTTGTCTGAGAAATACTTGAGGCTGGGCAGAGTCTGACATCAGGCTGACAAGGGACCGCTCTTGGGAAGGGCTTTCCTTTATTCATAGCATATACTCTTTCAACTCTTTTGGTGTATTTTTTTTTTAATTAAAGCTAACAGCTAAAGGGTTTTGCTTTTCATTTTAATATCCTTATTTGTCAAATTAAATCTGCTCATTCTTTTTGTAAAGTACCCTGTTCTGTGAAATCCTAAAGTCTGGATGCCTCAGCTTTAGAGTTGACAAAACTCTTTGATTTCCATCACAATTAATCCACCCATCACACCCATAAGATGGGTGAATTTCCACTTCACGGACGAGAAAAATGGCTCAGGGAAGGTAAGAGACTTAGCGAGGTCATGCAGCAGATAGGAGGAAGTTGAGAGGAGCAGGTAGCACTGCACTGTGGCCTGCAGTGAAAATCCAGGATCTTCCCACACCACCAACGAACGGTCTTTTCCACTTGACCAGACGCGGAAGCTAGAAGGGGAAGGACCAGAGCCTGCTTGGCGGAGGGCTCGGCCGGGGTAAGGCGCCGGCTCACCTTGTCCTCTGGGTCCTTCACCTCCACGAACATGCCAAGTCCGGGGGTGGCCGGCTGGTACTCCTCCCGCTGCTTGTCATACAGCTGCGTCCGGTAGTTTCCTGCAAAGAAGCGGGGCAAACTCAAATGAGAAGAGCGCGAGGTGGCGCTGGGTCCGTGGCCGGTCGGGCATGACGAGGCCAGCTCCTCGCGGCTCTAAAGAGCTGAGTGTCCCGCATCCCCCGCCCCAAGACCATGATCTCGTTCCAAATTCTCCCCTTCCCTCTGCACCTATGACCATAGTCTCGTCCGGAATCTCCTCAATAAAGCACTTCTTTTCCGTCTCCCCAATGTGGAAGTAGAGCGCGCTGCCGGGGGCCGCAAGCCACAACAGCACCAGTAGGGTACGCATCACTCTGCCCAGCCCCGTCCCGCGCCCCGGCCCCGCGACCATCAGCCAGTGCTCCGCAGCCATCTTGCCCCACCTGCCCGCGCAGCCGCAACAGGCAGAGCCACGCGGCACTGCCGCCGCCGCCGCGGTGCCTGCCGGGACCACGAGTTCCGCCGGGTGGACTACAAGTCCCGAGACGCCCCGCGGCCTCGTCGCGGTAGTACTTAATGGGGGCGCGGCTTTTACCTGGGGCGTAGTTAGGGCCTCAGGATGGGAAAGTTCCGTCGACCCTCGTCGCTGCCGGGCGACTGGGGATGGTTATCAGCTTTTTGTAGGTGATAAAACTGAGGCTGTTTGTTTGAGGTTGCGGAGAATTACCAGCAGAGGCAGGATTCGAGCCTAGTCTCCCTGCCTTTCCTTGACACAGCACCTGCCACTCATGGTTTGCTTCCATGTTTAAAAATTGAACTGAAAAAAAAGACACAAACTATGCACGAATTCATCCTTTAAAAAAAAAAATTCAAATAGAAAACAACAGCGAAAGTCTTCTCCCTTTACCACTTCTTTGTCCAAACCGTACCCACTTCTAAATCTGGTCTGTATCCATTTAGGCATCCTCCATCCCACACACACACACACACACACACACACACACACACACACACACACACACACACACGTGGGCTGTACTGTCAGATCCCAGCCGCGATGGCTCCTTTCCAGACCAGGGTTCGGTACCCCAGTGGCTGGCAGGTGAAAGGTGAAGGGTTTTAGTGGGTGTCTTGCAACTGAGCCGCCCAGTTTTGGAGAGCTCTGTACTTAGCTTGAGATCTTAGAGGGGCTGCCCTTCGTGTCCTTCCTGGATTTTATGCAAATTTCAGAGTATTTTGGAAGCTGTTCTTCGGGGTTTAGCGGTTGATGACTGTGACTGCCTCACAGTTTCAAAGAAGATGGCGGTTTTCTATTCTCGGCTCTCTTTGTTGTTTTCATTTGGCCCCAAGGATCCTTGGAAAGTTTAGTGGAAATGCATTCACGTCTCCTCTCCAACGGAAAGCTTTTACCTCATTTTTCTTTTCTTTTTTTTTTTTTTTCTTTTTTTTTTTTTTTCTTTTTTTTTTTTTTTCTTTTTTTTTTTTTTTCTTTTTTTTTTTTTTTCTTTTTTTTTTTTTTTCTTTTTTTTTTTTTTTCTTTTTTTTTTTTTTTCCTTTTTTTGTCTTTTTTCATGCCCAGCAACGGATCGCAACCCTCAGTGTCGCTCCTGTACCGGCCCGGGACCGGCAACGGGATCGCAACCCTCGGTGTTGCTCCCGCACCTCGCTCAGCCAGTGAGCGGGAACCGGTCCGTATGTGGGATCCGAACCCTCAGCGGGAGCACCGCCACGCTTCCCAAGTGGCGCACTGTAGCAGTGCGCCACCGGGCCGGCCCCTACCTCATTTTTCTTAATAGGAACAATATTACGTAGTATGGGTTTACCTTTTTTAAAAAAACATTTTTCTGATGAAAGATGATTAAGGTTTCTTTCCTCTTAATTGTTTGCTGTTATAAATAATGCTGCAATAAAAATTCTTGTTCATTTTCCAAAAAACCCTGCTGTAGGACATAGTTTTGTTGATAAGAGATCACAAAATTGCCCTTCCAAAAAGTTTGTACCAATTTACAGTCCCACCAGCAGTGTTTCAATGTTTACTTCCCCACACCTTGGTCAAATGTTCTCAACTTTTTAATTTTCGTAAAATCAGTGATGAAAATTTGTTTTTTATTATCCTTTTAATTTTTATTTTTTTGATTACCAAACATCTTTTTTTTTAAATTCATTTTTCTTCTGTGAATTGCTAGTTTGTGTTTTTCTTAGTGCTATTATATCTACATGCTATTTCTGCTGATGTAGCCACCATTTAGAATTAATAATATTTTGTTATATTAGTTTTGGGTATTTTTTAAAGTTAAACTTCTTATTAGTGTAGATAATTATAGATTCACATGTAACCATAAGAAATAATGCAAACAGATTGTGTACTCATTACCCAGTTTCCCCCAATGGTAACATCTTGTAGAGGTATAGTACAATATCACTATGATGTTGACATGGTACAGTCAAGATACAGACCATTCTATCACCACAAGGATCCCACTTGTTGTCCTTTCACAGCCACACACCCTTCTCTATGCCCTCATTCCCTCCTTAATCCCAGGCAACCACTAATCTGTGTTCTCCATTTTTGAAGTTTTGTCATTTCAAGAATGTTATATAAATGAAATCATATAATACATAACCTTCAGGGATTGACTTTTTTCCCCACTCAGCATAGATTTCAGGAGATTTATTCAGGCTGTTGCATGCATCAATAGTTAGTTCCTTCTTATAGTAAAAAGTAACCATTACACACAATGTATAAAAATGTAATTTTGTGATATCAACAGCTGAAATGTATGAGGGCAGAACTGTTAAAGGAATAGAATTTTTTTTTTTCATTTTTGTCTTTTTTCGTGACCGGTAACAGGATCGCAACCCTCAGTGTCGCACCCGTACCACGACCGGCAACGGGATCGCAACCCTCAGTGTCGCACCCGTACCACGACCGGCAACGGGATCGCAACCCTCAGTGTCGCGCCCACACTGCACTCAAACAGTGAGTGGACTGGTCTCTATATGGGATCCGAACCCTCGGCGGGAGCACCGCCACACTCCCAAGCGCCACACTCTACCGAGTGCGCCACCGGGCCAGCCCAAGGAATAGAATTTTTGTATGTTATTGAAGGTAAACTGGTATAAATTCAAATTAGAGTGTTATGACTTTAGGATGTTAAATGCAATCCTCGTGGTAGCCACAAAAAATAGCTGAAGAATATACACAAAAGGAAATGAGAAAAATCAGCTTAACACAAAAGAAGACAATAATGCAGGAAATGAGGGTCAAAAAAGCTATAAGCCATATAAAATAAATAGCAAAATGACAGAAGCATGTCTCTCCTTGTCATTAATACTTTAAATATAAATAGGTTATATCCTCCAGTTGAAAGACAGAGATGGGAAGAATGGATGTAAAAAAATGATCTTACTATATGCTGTCTACATACAAGAGACTCACTTTAGATCCAAAGACACAATAGGTTGAGAGTGAAAGGATAGAAAAGTATATTCCATACAAATAGTAACCAAAAGAGAACAGAGGTGGCTATACTAATATCAGACAAAATAGACTTTAAATTTAAAAAGATTATGAGACAAAGAAAGACATTGCATATTAATGAAAGGTTCAATATGAAAAGAAGGTATAGGAATTATACACATTTATGCACCTAATAAGAGACCACCAGAATATAGAGCAAAAATTGACATAACTGAAGGGAGAAATAGTCTACGATGACCTCAATACCCGACTCTCAATAATGGATAAAATAACCAGGCAAACGATAAGTAAGGAAATAGAGGACTTAACACAATTTACCAATGAGATCTAACAGACATATATAGAGCACTGTACCCAACAATAGAATACACATTCTTCTCAAGTGCACATGGGATATTCTCCAGAAAAGAACATATGTTAAACCAAAAATTAAGTCTCAACAGATTTTAAGAGATAGATATTATACAAAGTATCCTCTTCAATCATAATGGGATGAAGTTAGAAATCAGTAACAGGAGTAAAACTGGAAAAATCACAAATTTTTGGAAATTAAACAACACACTCTAAACAACCAATGGATCAAAGAAGAAATCACAATGGAAATTAGAAAATACTTAGGGGCCAGCCCGGTGGCGCACTGGATAGTGCGCCGCTTGGAAAGCGCGGTGGCGCTCTCGCCCGAGGGTTCGGATCCCACATACAGACCAGTTCCCGCTCACTGGCTGGGCGAGGCGTGGGGGCAGCACCGAGGGTTGCGGTCCCGTTGCCGGTCCTGGTCCGGTGCGGGGGCGACACTGAGGGTTGCGATCCGTTGCCGGACACGGAAAAAGACAAAAAAAAAAAAAAATACTTAGAAACAAATGAAAATGAAAACACAATATATCAAAACTTATGGGATGCAGTGAAAACAGTGTAAGGGAGAAATTTATAGCTATAAGTGCTTACATTAAAAAACAGGAGGCTGGCCTCCTGTTAGCTCAGTAAGTTAGAGCACAGCCTTATAACCCCAGAGTCACGAGTTTGGATCCCCATACCTGCCAGCTGCAAAACAAACAAACAAAACAAAACAAAAAAACAAACAAAAACACCAAGAAAGAAAGATCTCAAATCAACAATTTTGCAACTTAAGGAACTAGAAAAAGAAGAACAAATTAAAGCCCAAACTAGCAAAATGAAGTAAATAACAAAGATTATTTGTCAAAAACCACAAAACGTATAATACGAAAAGTGATCCCCTAATGTAAACTATGGACTTTGGGTGATAATGATGTGTCATTGTAGATTCATCGACTGTAACAAATATATCACTCTGGTGCAGGATGTTGACATCAGGGAGGCTGTGCATGTGTGGGGAAAAGAGGTATATTTGAACTTTCCATTCAATTTTTCTGTGAACTTAAAGCTGCTCTAAAAAATAAAGTATATTTTTTAAAGGCTATGTTTCATCAATTAAATTGCTTTTGCACCTTTGTAAAAAGTGAGATTGCCATATTTATGTGGGTCTATTTCTGGGTTCTCTATTCTGTCCTATTGATCTATGTGTCTAACCTTCTGCCAATACCACAGTCTTGATTACTGTAGCTATATAATGTCTTGAAATTGTGCACTTTTCAAAAATGTTTTAATTATGCTAATTCTTTTGCCTCTCCATATAAATTTTAGAATACTCTTGTCTGTATCTATAAAAACTCTTGCTGAGATTTTGGTAGGTGTTGTGTAAAACCTGTATATCAATTTGGAAAGAATTGCCATCTTTACCATGTTAAATGTTCCAACCCATGAACACAGTATGTTTCTGCATTTATTTTGATTTCTTTCATCAGAATCTTGTAATTTTCAGCACACAGATCTTGTACGTGTTTTGTTAAGATTTTATCTAAGTATTTCATTTTCTTTGGAGTGATTGTAAATGGCATTACATATTTTTGTTAGCCTTTTTTTTTTTTTTGTCTTTTGTC